CAGTTTTCAGACTGAAATATAGCTTAAATCAGCACAGAATAATCAGCAAAAATCAGTTCTTGTCTTTGGTTGATGTTCAATGCATTTTTTATGAGAATATCAAAGTAACAAATCCTCACACTTTCAGAGGAGAGCAAAGTAAGTTTTTTTTAAAGATATTTTCGGGCTTATTTGCCTTTATTTGATAGGACAGATATAGCATAAAAGGAGGAGAAAGAGTTGAGATGACATGCAGCAAAGGGCTGTGAGTTGGAATCGAACCCAGCAAGGATGCAGCCTTTGTACGTGTAGCGCCCACTCTACCAGGTGAGCTAGTAGGCGTACCAAGTAATTTATTTTTGAATGGTGTCAGCAAAGCATCTTAACCACAGGTGTTTCATAATAACTACCTGACAGATATTGGATGTCAAGATGGCGCCTATTCATTCCAATGGAGGTGCTCGACTTGCACATAAGCCAAAAAAGATTCAAGCTTCCAGGTTTATTTTACATTTATTTTATGCCGCCCAGTGAATATGCACAGCAGTGTTTTCCCCGCTTACCCCATGAGTTCTTGCTCTGTTCATAGACTTCACTTTGTGATGATGTCACAGAGTTTTAAATAGTTTTTCTCAGCTAAAGAAAAAATTTACAAATTTAAAACCTGCATGGGTCAAGCCATCTTTTAAGGAATGGTTCACAAAGCTGGCAAAAGTTGCATCATATACAAAAATCTCTTTCAGCTCTAAGGACAGGACAGAGAAATATGTGGCAAATTGGAGAAGCTACTTGGAGCACATTGCCGATGTGGACGTATCTTGAAGTGAATCATACACTATTTGAGTGTCTAGGAGTTCATCTGCTGCTTGTAGATCAGAGAAGATTGTTGTGCATATTTTTGTAGGAATATTTTTACTTTTCTTTTCTTTTTTTCTTAAGAATTATGTTTGCATTTTTATTTATACGTTTTCATATTATTATTTTATTTAGTTATTGTGTTTTTTCCCTCTTGTGTATGTACATATATTTGATTTATTGAAACTCGGTGACACTGTTTATGTTGGGAAAAAAGGCAAAAAAGTTCAATAAAATATTAATGATTTTTAAAAAAAAAACCTGAATGGATCAAAAAATCATAACTGACCTTATTTACAGTTCGAGGCTTCTTGTCAACAGTTTTACAGATGTGTCTTTTACAATGGTGGCCTGTGGGGAAATTGCTTTATGGACTGCAATACCACAAGTGGTTACTGGGGAAAAATTGGAAGCAAGGTTGAGCTTGAAAGTTCCCTGAGAGGTGAAAGTGAGGGCAAACAACTCCATACTCCATACATCAGCTGGGTAGAGAAATTTGACCAAGAGTAAAACTGTTTAAATGGGAAAATGGGAAAAGAGTAAACTGTGAGTATGAGTATTTTTGTGTCCAGTGCATCTCTGGATGTGCAGAGGAGCATGCATAACACGGCCCTAATTCCCCAACCGAGGCCGGAATGCTGACACAGTGACAGAGACGTGAACTGTCAATGCCTGATTGCAGTGAACACACATCAAAGACGAGATCAATGGGCTCCAACAGAATGTCAATGGACACGCCTGTGGCGATGTTACCCAACACAGCGAGGAACTCTCCGGTCATTTTGGAGCACGGTGGATGGCCTGATGTGTCTGTACATAAACGATCTGACACTGTGGGGTTATTGTCTGGACAGCGAGACCTTCACCCTGCGAAACTAGAGCTGGAAGAAATCATTTAAATTACAGCCTCCCTTACACAATATGTTCTCTCGTTGTGTCTTAAATGGAAACCCCACCGGTTTCACACATTAAGTTATTCATCTTGGCCTCTGCTGCTACAATTTTAACAACTTTTTTTCCCTGTTTTATCTGTTTTCCCTTGCCTCCCAATTTTTCAGAAGAGCAGTACTAAATCTCTGATGTGTCCTTCTAGAGGTGTGCAGAGACTGATAAAACATCCTGTGAGAGGTGCAGATGAAATGCTGCCTGGTATGCCACCATAAAAGCACTTTGCAACCTTATACTGAAAGGTGTCATGTTGAGTAGACCTGGAGGGCCTGTCTCTACATACACACCATACGTGTACAGTATGGTATGTGTTTGAATGGGTTATACCAGTTGACTTGTCATATATAGATGACAGGGGGCTTTGAAGCAAGACAGAAGAGGTCTGACAGTTCATTGGGACCTTTGAGTGCAGCTGACCTTGCCTTAGGCAAAATGAGCACGAAGCGAGAAGGCCCCTAAGAAAGGCCAACCAGGGTCAGTGAATATCAGTGTTGTGTAAGTGCTCTACTTGATAGAAGCATCCTGTTCATGTTATATCATACAGCACATGGTCTCGGATCTCATTACCCATTTACATCTGTAAATCCTGTGGCAAATGCAGTAGGAAATCATTGCTTAAAGCTCCATTAGAGGAAAACTTCACCCAAATGAAAATCTATAAATCAATTACTCACACCATGTTACCTTGAATTCATAAAGAAAACTGTTTTTCTCACATGCCTCTGGCCAAAGAAGAATAAAAATAACTGAGAAATTTCTTGATGAATTCATGTCATAGGGAACCGTGTTTAAGAACAGCAAATCAACACTGAAACATCTGTTTACAATCTCCCACAAAACTCATGCAGTATAATCCAAGTCTTATCTATCTGGTCGTATGCCCAGTACTTCCCAAACAGACAGCCCTTTCAAACACATTCTCACTCCGACCTTGTCACATATCTACATTCAGTCATGGACCTTCCATGTCAGGATACGACGTGAAAGCTACCCTGGGTGTGTGGTTGTTGACGTTCTGGGACTCCGTGTCGAGTTCTGCCTGTTACATGCATCATCGTCTTTCAAAATACACTTCCATTCTCATAGGGAATTTACCATTTCTATAGGTCTCTTTCAAAATAAATGCACTATGTCAGTACAACAACACAAATTGATGTTTTTCTTCCTTCTACAAATCATGTATGTGGTAAGGTTTAGGAAAAAAGAACAGGGTTTGGCTTAATTATCTTACAGGACCCGAACATTGCTCTCCTGGGTCAAAGTCGGTGTTTGTTGGACCCATCCACCAACCCTCCCTCCTGCCCTACTAGAACTTTTGCCGCCTTAACTTTTGTTCTTGTCCCGCCACGTTTCCTCCTGACGCTGCTAATTGATGTTAACCTATAACAGCAACCGTCTGCGGATATTCCTGACGTTAAAGGACTGCCTTTTTCATCACTGTCTGACGCCGGATTTTGACGACTTCAGAGTGAGACCTGGATGCCCTGTCTGAAGGGAAACTGAAAAGAAAGTGAAATGTATCAATGCTCGCTTCAAAGCCACACTCCAGTGACATCTCACTGAACACATGAGATGCTGGTCTACTGCTGCCTCGATCAGATAGTTTGTTTGTGTTATTGTGTGACTTTGGCCAATCTGAGCTAACCCTCTAAAACACTAAAGCCACACAATAACACAAACTATCTGATCGAGGCAGCAGTAGAACAGCATCTCGTGTTCATTTAAGCACTAAGATATCAACACTGAATACGCACTACTGTAAATACCACTGACAATCAACACCTTACTCTGCAGCTTGTGGTTTTTATCCATACATTTGTACAGGGGACTCTCTTGCAGATGTCTCCAACTCTCTTGTATAAAACCATTGGAAACCAGTCACTAGCATCCTAGCTCAAGCAAGGCAACTATAACTGTAGATCCAAAAAAGGAAGCTGAAGTAGACAAGTCCTTTTTTGACATTTTCTTTTTGCAAATTGGAGGGGAAAACACAGCTAGAAGACAAGTGAATAATGGACTTGCATTTATCAGACGGCAAGAATGGTTTCAAGATTTCTAAATTATATTTAAAAAGAAGCTTTTTTTGTTGTGCAAGTATGACTGATTAGCAATGACGAATCATCAAGATAACAATATATAGTAAGATCATTTTGCCTTTGAAATTCTGATGTTGACCTTTCCCCTTGAGGGAACGTAGTTCAGTGTACCATCCAATTACCTTAATTAATGTTTTCTTATTTGATAAAGTCATGCTTTATTGATCCTCACAAAGCAGCTGTGTTTTCATGTTCACCTCCCGTAGCAGAGTAAGAGGTCAGGGTAGCCCTCAGGCAAAAAAATTATTGCTAGTGTTCTGCTCAAGGACACTTCAGTAGGCAGGTGCTTGATCCTCAATTAAACAAGGTGAGTGGAAACTTGATATTACCAGCCTATCTGACCCACAGTTTGAGAATCTGAACTCTAACAATAGTTTGCTGTTTAATTAATATCCTGATTGTTGAGATTGATTCAGGATCAGAAGGTGTGATTTACACTTTGGCCCAATGATCCCTGATTTCCACACCTCACAGCAAAGTCGTCAGCGTGGACAGGCGGTGAATTAGCCAGCAGTCAGCACTTCATGTTGTCTTTATTAATGGCGAGGGACGTGCTCCCTCTCTGTCACTCTCCCTCTCTCCATTTCTCCTCCTTTCACTTCCTGGCATGGCTCCTAATGGGTCGGCTCCATCTCCTTATTACTCAGACGCATAAAATGGCTTTTTATGTGGCGCCGGTGAGCCACCAACCTCCAAGCAGATTGAGCAAATGAAGAGAAATAAGAAGCTCATTCCAGCCTTGATAAAGCAGTGTGAAGGATTTTCTCTGCTTTGCCATTATGTGAAAAACTACCACCCCTGCATACGATGTTTTATTCCGACTCAGACAGTTGTGCTTATGATGTACTTCCACATAAACACTGTGATGCAGCGCAGTTTGAATGACAGATGGAAATGTGTTGTGAGTTTTGTGCCTTGCAAGATAACTGTGGCTAAAAGCTGCAGCTAATTGCCTAAAAATGTAAATTGACTTGTAAATGAGCAGCAGATGTTAATAGCCACCTCCATCTTAATATAGCGAACGTGGAATACATTCATCCAAACTGTTTGTTTGACACTGGTACTGGTGAGTGCTACGGCTGTTCGAATGATAAATGAGAGAGTTGCAAATGAGACACATACCTGATGCCTTTGATTTGTGCAATGCTGTGGTGGGAGATCCTTGACAAAGCGGAGATCACCTGAAATAAACAAAGAGATAAACAGACGGATAAATATATAATTCTTTATTGTTTATCATTTTATTTGCAAGATGCATTTACTTAATTTGTGATGCTTGTCTCTGTTTTGCTCTGTCTTTCTTATATCACTGATACTGATGTTATACTGTGATACTGTATTAGTTAATGTGGGCTCCAGGAGTACTAAACACTACAACAAACAAACAAATAAACAAAGATGATAAAAACAGCCAGCGACAAATGTAATAAAAAGATCGCCAGCAATTAACTGTAACAGTAACTAAAAAACAAATCTTCAGCACCAATTAAGACAGGTAACTAAAAGTAACTAAGAGACAAACAATCAAAGGCAACAAATAACTATATAAGCAACAAAAACAAAGCAACAAAAAATCATCACAGACAACAATCAACAACAAAAGTAAATAAAAGTAACAAATAATTAACAGTCAAAAGCAACAATCAACTGTAAAAGTAGCTAGAAAACAAGTCATCAGATGTGATTATGAACAACTATCACCAAAAGTTACTGAAAGTAACTAAAGGACAAACAATCAGAGGAAACAATCAGCTACAAAAGTACCTCGAAGTCGTCAGATGCAATAATTAAGGGTTAAAAACAAAATCAACTAAACTAAACACACTGCTGGTGACAAAGCAACAGTGTGGCCTGCTGCATTATTGCTGAATCCTTGTTGAAGTGCTGGACAAGTGCCTACTGACATTATTAATTCCTCCCGGGCTTCTGCTACTTCTGAACGTCATCTAAAGTTTATATTTGGCCAAAAAATATCTTTGGTTTTTACCTGAGCCCCATTTAGCATCAGCTTACTTAGGCTGCCTCCTAATAGTCGACCAGAAAGGTCTTAAGTCAGCAAGATTTCATTCATTGGTCGCTTAGTCACAGAGGGGGGGGAAAAAAAAAGAAAAAAAGGTGAAACTCTATTAGGAGCTGCGCCTTGTCAAAATAAATCAAAACCTATATGACTGGACCATGTGGGAATTTAATTTGAAAGGACAAACGCAGGAAGAGGCCACACTCAGCAGTCAGACAGGAGTCACAGTACCTGTGGTTATTCCACAGGCTAGTTAATAACATGTCGGGCAGGAAATCCAAAGTGTGGGATCATTTTGAGAAGGTGAAGGATGAACCCAAGGTGATATGTAAACTCATCTTCATTGGTCGACTACAAACATGACGTATCATCTGAAACATGGAAGTAGCTACATGCCCATTAGCCCACAGCGTCATTAACAGGTGGCTCGCTCAGTGTGTGACGTGCACTTGTAGATAAAATATAGGCCTATATTAATGAAGGTTCATTAGTATGGTTTTGTATTTCTCTGTAATGTAGCACAGTGTTAACAATGTTACTGATACTGTTCTTTCTCACACCTCAACTCAAACCATTGTGTTGCCCCGCCCAAAATATATCATTTAATAATTAAATCAATATTGTAAAAATGCGGGCGACTAGTTGACTAATGGCCCTAAATGACGACTATTGGTCAGCTAGGAGAATTCGTAGTCGGGGGCAGCCCTATGACACAGTACCACAGCTTGAAGCAAAAACATGTCATTGGTAGAGCGCTGAAAAATTGCGGCCAGCTCAACTTTGATTTGTAGCTTATTACGCCCATCATGTAACGACAAGTGTAGCTTTATGTCACCAGTTCCCACTGAGAACGACTTGCAGCCTGTTGCTTTGTCACTCGCAGTGTGAACACAACAATAGATAAACAGTCAGAGGCGACAATCATCAACAAAAGCAATATATTCCACAGAGGAACAGCCATTACCACAATTCTTTGTACTTCCTACCAGTTAAAAGAAACAAGTTCATTTCAGTCCATCATTCACTTTTCTCCCAGGGTGATTATCGAACATTATTTGCATGTTCCTTAGCAACCCCCCTCGGAAGTATGCGCTGCCACGAAGGACTATGTGTAAACATAATGCAGGCCACCATGTTAATGGTGACATTCAGAAGACATGTGGTGCACAGTCATGGATGGGTGGGTACCACTTTGGTTAGATTACCCGCCAACACACAAAACACACACACAACAGTCACGCACTTGACCATCCCCATATTTTCCTTATTTTACCTTTTATCTTGTTTTCCTGTATTTTCCTAACCTCCTCTGTACTTTCCTTTTTTTGGTCGAATAAGGTTAAATGTGTGGATGTAGTTAAGCTGATTTAACGCTGCTTATGAGTCACACGGAAGTGGGTTTATGGCTGAGGACTACAGATGGCGTGCTTGCAGGGTCCACAGAGGCTAGTTCAGGAAGATGAGGGGACCACCATCACACTCCCATAAACACACACACACACACACACACACACCAAAATACACCAAAACACAAACCCTATCTCCTACGCCTCATTACCCACTCCTGGGTGTATTTCAGCTTGCAACGCCGTGGCAATGCCAGATGTCTCCTCGACAGGGAGAGGAAAATTGTTATCTCAACCCCTCTTCCTCGGCAGGTGTGTCATCCACAGCCTCTGATCAAACTCCCTCTTGTCTAAACACACAATGCCGCATCTCAGCGCTTATGGTATCTTTCATTCAAGATGAGCTAATTGCTGTTGTGAAGAGAAGACGACCACTTTAGGACCGGCAAGTACTTATGTTGAAGCGCTTTTGACCAAAACCTTTTACTCTCACTATTCAACTTGTTCTCGTGTTTAACATAATCAGTTGTGGAGAGTGGAAGGATTACACGTGGCGATGTTGTGGAGTGCGTATACATCACATGCATTTACATCCAACCACTCAATGGAGGGAAACCTCGACGGGGCCGTAGCTCGACAGGATGATAAGGGGTTATTTCTCTGTGTCGCTAAAGACCCGTGTAATAGGCAGTCATGTTCACGCTTAATGGTTCCAATACGGGGCCAGTCTACCATTACACACCTCCTTAACATATATTCTAACTGCACTTTGCAGACAGAGAACAAAAAGGAAAGGGACAGAGAGGAGAGCGGAGAAGAATAGATTGCTAATTTGGCTCGGTGTCTGTTTAGCCCATGGTTAGGGTATTTATTAAATCACTGTGGACGCACCCATTGTGCTGCTGGGTGGCACGCTGCCCACCTGGCCATGCTGCAGGGAGGGATCACATATGGCACGCTGCCCCAGTATCATTATTAGCTCTATTTTTTTGGTCTTATTAGCCTACATTGTCTGTGTGGAAGAGACACAGATAGTGTAATTTAAACACAAAACAAGCAAACGCGTGGATAATCAGATGGATAGATAGGTGGATAAATTCAGTGTTTAATAGCAATTAATTTTTAATTCTGTGTAGCGTGATCAGCTGTGGTACGATCCGCATAAACACAGCTGGTTTCAGCCAGGTTTGTCCAGGTTCAAAGGATCGGGGAGCTGCTGGCTTCCACCCAGAGAGGTCACAGCAGGGCCAAAGCCTGCATGGCCCGGGGAGACAAGATGAGAGTGTGCCAACACTGAGCATGCTAGCGTGACGTTCACACATCACAGGGTAAAGCAGCTATTAATATTAAACCTCTAGTTTCCTTAACATTAAGGAGTTTGTTCTCATTTTTAGTTTATGCTAGAGTCACACGCCATGATGTGAAAAATATGTCTCAATATTGGGAGTGCTGTTCGTGACTCCTTCTGGCTTCTAGGAAGAAATGCTAATTTGCAATCTGTTTTCAGGGCAGCTGAGGAAGTATACATTTGTTCTCACACTCTAACATGAGCCTAAAATGACAATTACACTTCTCATTTATCTTTTCATGTGCAGTAAAGCTACAGTTTCACTGCAAACAAAGCAGATGTGAATACAGTGAATTGTTTGATTTTTATCTAAGCGCTTAAAAGAATACTCCACCAAAGAGCTATCTAGAAGCTGCCTTTCAAGTGAAGAGGCTGTGATTGATAGTCAAAAGATTTGGATTGTCAGTGGAGTATCCCTGACCTTTTTAAAACACTTTTTTTTGTGTGGAGCTGGCATCTTTTATCTGCCTCATAATAGCGCTCCTCTTTCTCAAAGGTGGCCTATCTGCCTGGTTGTGCTTTCCTCTTTTTGCCCATGTTCCTGTTTCCCTTTCTGCCTCTAATACACTCTCTTCACCCTCTTCTGATCCTTTGGTTCACTCAAAGCCTTTGAGTCTTTACACATTATTAATTTCCCTCTCATCTCGTACTCCCCGGGGGGTCTTAACTCTGGGGCTGGCCAGAGACTAAAGCTTCTTCCACCCCTCTAGGAATATGGAAAAGACAAGTCACACAATGGAGTGATAGCTTAGGTTTCTAAAGCCCCAAACCAATATCTTACCTTAATCACCACCCCACATGGTATCCCCTTACCCACATCTGACCCTTTCTGTCAGTCAGGAGGGTGTAATTGAAGACACATGTTCAGTCAGACGGCTTCACTGAGGCTTGCAGTTTCTGCATGAGACTGGCATGCAACATTTACGATCCATTTACTGCATAAGAAGTTTGTGTGCATGTGTGTGTGTGTGTGTTTGTGGAGGGCAGAGTCTGGAGTGCAGGGATGAGGATTGCATCTATGGATTAAAAGCGAGGCGAAGCCAAGTGTTTGCAAACACACGCCACCCGCACACATCTCCAGACTCGCCACATGTGGCCCCAGCTGAGGCCAAGTGAAGCCTCGTGTGACGACTCGGCAGCCAATCGGCAGACCAAGAGGACCTTGTTACCCCTGGCAACGGGGCTTGACTGAATATGCATGGTCATCAATTACAAGTCAAATCAAATGAAACCTGCAGCCATATGCTATTAACAGTTGGAGGGCGGGGCTGTGATTTGATTAAGATCTGAAAACATGCACAGGAGGACTATTGACAGTCCATCACAAACCACACCCCGCCGCCAATTCTGTTTATTTCTGATGCAGTCATCATGACATGATTATATTTCGCACCGCAAATCAATGCATGTGTTGGAAGTCATCCAACAAAGAGGCTGAATTAATGAAAAATTCATCACATTAGTGTTATG